CGCTTCTTCATTTATTCATATCTTCCTCAGGGACTAATCCACCTATTAGAATAATAAGGTTATTTTCTGAGTCTAATCTAAGAAAATAAATTAAAAAGTCTAAACCTTTCATTAGCTCTCAAAGAGACAGAATTTCTCGGTCAAGGAGAGCCGTGATGCTCCGGAGCGGCCGTCCCGCAAATAACATTTATTAATTAATTATGCACATTCAGAGCCACAGCTGGGGCCGGAGGCGCCTCCGCCAGCGGCCTAATAGGAGGGTGCCTGCAAACTAATGTGTTAAGTAAATAGCTCTTTTATTGGCCTAAGTAGTCACGTAGCACAGGAGCTCACATTTCCAAGTATCCGTGGAGCAAAATAATAGAAAAGCTATTAAAATCCAGAGAAAGATAGATTGCATTATATTGCCTAAATTAAAGCCTAACTTGGTATGGATGTAAACACGCGGGCTCCCGCTGTCTTCCAGGCCTGAATACCAAGCAGGACGCGGCCAGCGCGTACAAATCCTTTCAAAAAGGACTTTTTTATCCCCACCCCATGATTATTTTTTCCTCTTTGTGTTTATTCTCAGGCCGGGATCGAAGAGCGGATCCGCTCTGGTTTCGCTAACCGGGACGTGGGCAGCGACTGGCGCGGCCGGAGCCCCCGCGGGTGCCGGGGCCCCGGGACACCCTTCGCTTTGGGCATCCGCACGGAGCTCTCCTTCGCGTGGGACCTTGTGCCTGAGCCACGAGCAGGGAATTCCTGATTTCTTCCACCTCCCTCCTTGACGGTCGGTGGGATCTGCTGGTTCCACCGGCAGTGACGGTTCCGAGATGTGAAACTCGCCGGGCTGAGTTTGCGGGAGCGGAGCCGAGCGCAGGGAAAGGCCCTTCCGCGTCTCCTCCGGGAAAGGCTGCAGGGGCAGCGGGAGCCGCCTCCGCGGCTTCATCCCCCGCAGGGCGGCGCTTGGGAATTCGCCTCTTTGTGCCGAAGCGGCCGGGACAAACGGCCCTGTCGGAGGGCCGGGATCAAGGACACATCCAGCAAAGCACTGAGGAAGAGGAGGCACCGGCGCCGTCTCTCACTCCTGCTCCGACGGGAAGTGCTGCTGGACGCACGTCCTGCCGCGGGGCTGCGCAACCCCGGGAGGATCCCGAGCACCAACAGAAAAGCATCATTTGTTCCAGCCCCGAGGAACTGCTTCCCTCCCCAAAGCACAAGGCGGTCCTTAACCTGCGGAAAGGCAGAGGAAAAGGGCTGCAACGAGCCCGTCGGTGCTCGGATTGGGAAAAAGCAGGGCTGGCTGGGGGGACCCGGGAGCACCTTTTGGCCACAAGAAGAGCACGTTAAAAGCAGGAACGTTGAAAGGCAAGTGTAAGACATATAAAACCCTTTGGCACTGAGCCTGAGCACCAGAATCCATGGACTTTCTGGGCGCCTCCGGGGTGCCCGGTCCCTTGATCCTCTGCCCGGAGCGGCCAAACACGTTTATGTTTAAAGGGAACCAAAGCCGGACGCGGGGAGGCCACATGGAGGGACACCCGCACACTGCAGGGCTGCCGAGCGCACGGACACAGGTCGCCTTCCCACCGGGAATACACGGATGCGGGATCGACCTTGGGGCGCTGCCGCTGCGGAGGATGCTGCGGCCGCGCGGGCAGCTTTGTTCATTAGCAGTTAGGCAGGTTGTTTGGCATCCCGATTAATCCCCCTTTTAATTATTCCGAAATCGTGCGAGATTTCCCGGGCATTCAGCTTCCGTGCGCGCTGGCCGGCCCCGCTGCAGTTATTCTGATGTGAGGAGGGTTATTGAGGCGCTTCCCGGCCCGCCGTGTCCGCC